GGGGTCACTCTTCTTCCTGCTTGGAGTGTGTAGACTGAGGCACTTCCTGTTTCTACCACATCCCAGCGTAGTGTTTCTTATCTTTCTCTGGGATGAGGTCCCCTCCTGATGTAAACTCCATGACTGTCCCCAGGCCTGTGCTCTGCTTCTAGACTCCTCCTGTCCTCTGAATGAATTTCTCCCTGTCCTTCCTGACAATCTCAACACAACCCCTCCAGGTATCATCCCGAGACACACAGGAGAAGCCAAGCTCTGGACTGAACTTCTGCATCTGTTCACACAGCCTCATAGCAGCTCCATGTGCTTGGTACCATGAACTGTATTAGTTTACAAGCACAGCTGTGTCCCCAGGGTCCTATCCTCAAGACAGAGCATGAGGATTTTGACTTTTGCACTTTCTGGTTCCAAAGCCCACAGTTGTTCTTGGTGGATAATATGGACCGAATGGGTGCCTGAGTGCATATGCCTGTCCGTCTCTCTTGGTAGACAGCATGCTCTGTGTGGGCTTACCCGACTAGAGAATTGGTTTCTCATTAGGGCGAGTATACTCCTTTCCTCTTAATAATGACTCTAGAAAGGTCAATGTGGTGCCTAGAAATCTGGACAGGCACCACAGGTTTGATTCCTAAGAAGGTAGATTTTAGCCTATTTTCCTCAAATGAGTACAAGTCAGGATTCACTAGAACTTCAACATTTGGGAATCTCAGTGTAAATAATGGCTGCCGAGAAACCCAAGAGCACCAGACTGCTGGTAACTGGAGGGCAAGCCAGTGTGCTTTCCTTCATCATTCTTTATCTAGTTCTTAACACGGGCCCTATACATGCTGGGTTACTGAATGCATCCAATTCAGTGGACTCCCTGGATGCCCAGAGATATCATGAGCAGTGTGTGGCCCCAGATAACCAGAGCCATGGTTATCTGGATGGCCCCAGATGGAGCAGCAAAAGCCAGTGTTTGCTGCTCATCTATTCAGCAGTGTCCATAGTTGTGGAGCAATGGAGAGGTGACTGGACCAGGTGTCAGGAGTCCTGAGTTCTTGTTCTGCTTTGCTCATTATTAGCATGATACCTACTATGGCCTACTGGGGCTCAGTCCTCCTTTCCTGAAGTGAAGGGTATGTATTGCATATCTCCTCACATCCTTTCTGACACATCATTCTGGGATTGTCTGGGTCTGAGGTTTTACTATGACCTAAATCTTCCATAAGAGACAATTTTGCCCCATCCTCTGTGACTCTTGGGATGTGTTCTCTGGATCCCTACCCCTTGTGTTCTTGGCACTTTGATTTTAGCTCATTCAGTTGCCGTGCACAGCTTTCCTCCACTACAATCATTTTGCTTTGTGCATCTCTTAGACAGTTCTAGGGGTTTCAAAGCCCGTGGACAGGCAGCCATACCCCTGCCTTTTCTTCATCTCCTCCTTCTCGGATCTCTCTCCGTCTGACCCCTTTTCTCTCCGTGCAGCCCCCTGCCCCTCCTCATGTTGCCCTGTTGCTCTTCCCACTGAAATCCTAACCCGCTGGACTGTAGCCCAGATGATCAGTGATTTTATTGTGATCCTGTATTCATAGAGGAGCAAAAAATAGCATGCATTTTTCCAAAGCCCAGCCCTTCCCTACACCCCTGGAGGCACCTCTTTATCCAGATTTACACTGCTCTTTCTGATTAAATCTTCCAATATCTATTTGATGTCACGCCACTCACTAACTGCCCTGCATTTTTCATTTTGCCTGTGCTTCTATTTGAAATCTCTACCAGGAGAGGGGGGCCTTTCGCCTTCATAGAGAAATAGAGCTGGCGTTTCTTAAGCTACTGCTCTTCCTCTGTCTCTTGCATGGTGGACTAGCCACAGCTCTTTAGCTCACCCTAGCCTTGCTGTAGGTAACACAGAGCAAAGCAAAACAAAAATCCCAGCTGGCTGCCTGTCAATCAGGACTTCTTCTTGTTCAAACCCTAGTTTAGTGTACAGGTGCCAAAGCAGGTATAAGCCACCATACGCTTCTATCTGCTTCTGTGTGTGTGTGTGTGTGTGTGTGTGTGTGTGTGTGTGTGTGTGTGTGTGTGTGTGAGAGAGAGAGAGAGAGAGAGAGAGAGAGAGAGAGAGAGAGAGCTTGAAAGGTATTGTCCTAAAGATATTTTTATAACCTGAAGCAATTACAGCTGTCAGTGTAGAGACAAGCTGTGACAAGTTGATTTATGTGTACAGTATACGTGTATGTGAGAAAGGAGGGAGGGAGGAGAGGGGGATAACGGGGGGGGGGACGGGGGGAGGGGGGAGAAGGTGGAGGTGGCACTCGTTAGGAGTCTGCTTTCCAGGAGGCAGAGAGGAAGTTGTTTCTATAAAGAACACAAATAATGAAATTGCTCTGACTGTCATCCCTTTTTCATTAACTCAGATATGCTGGGAAAAATAAAATAAATCCAGCAGTTTTTATGAAGCCAGAGACAGGATATAAGATAAGCCACTAAGTGCTGGTTATATTTAGGGATTAGGGAATGGGAAGGCAATTGACATGCGATTTTGATCTTCATCTTTCTAAAGCTCTACAATAGTGGGTCTGAGTAAAGCTGATCCGTCTTGTTAATTGTGTGGGCATCTCTGACCTTTGGCCACTTTCTTAACCTTTATTTGTGAATAGAGTTTGGAGCCCTGGGTCCACAAAGCAGAGATTGTGAGTGGCTTTTCTTTGTCCTTCCTGAGGGTTACCTGAGCTCTGATGGGCTTTCTGTGGACAGTCACCAGGATGCTGCAGGCCAGCACTCTTCCTCGGGGTCAGAGACAGATGTTCTGACTGTCTGAGATGAAGTGCATTCAGGCCAGTGTAGACAGTGTCTCAAGGAGCCTTTGAGGATTATTTTTCTGTCTAGCCATAATAACGAAGCAGTAGCAGGAAAAATGTATTAATAAAGCCTCTTCCATCTTAAATGGTTTTCTAAGTATTTTTCCTGTAGAGTTAATCATGTATGTAGCTCCCTTGGGACAGGCTGTTGGTTGTCATTATCCCCATTCCTAGATGCAAAACCTAATGCTCATTTGTACCTACCTGGAATTAGATGCAAGGGACTGAATTAGAATTTGTCATGAAAGGAATCAGCCTCTCCGTTCTCGAGCCTGGGTCTGTAGGGAAATGCCTCCAAAGCTGAGAATGAGTCCCTTCCCCTTCCTCATTGCCTGGGATTTGTTTTCACCGAGTGTGGCACTCAGGATGAGGGGTTGTGATGGGACCATAGGAGGGACACCTGATAGGTTATTATGAGTGATGCGGTGGCTTTCAGGGAAGATTCTTAAACTCATAAGCCTGTTAATCAGCAAAGAAAGCTCAAGCCTTCTGTCTGTACTCACGAACAGCTCAACTGAATGAAATAGTTTAATTTATGATTTTTCATGTTTTCCCACTGGAAAAACGAGACAAAATAGGCTTTGGAAAAAAAGCCATTTGTTATTGCCATAAGTCACCAACCAGCATTTTTGGCGTTGTATGTCGAAAGGTTCCCTGGGTTCAAAAACAGTGGATGAGTTCCCTGAGACTTTAATATCAGACAAAGTCACCAGAGGAGGCAGTAGGGAATTGGCCTAGTAATGAATTGGTGTCAAGCATTTTGACACCTCCAGTACAAAGTTGCTCGATACTTCATGGCCCAGGAATGTCTGGGCAACTATAGAAATAGAAAAGCAAGCTTGCTCATCTTCCTTTGTGGCCCTTGAATTTGGCTAACGCATTCCAAAGCTGACCTCTGCCCTTCCCTTGGATGTAGTGGTGTGAGGGGGATATTGTGTGAGAAGTGCCTTTGGAGATCCTTACATACTGTCCACATGGAAATGGTTGGTGTTACTCGATGGTGTCAATGGCCCCGAGGTACCAGCACCGCTGTGGTTAATCATGGTTTCGTAGTAATGTTTTGGTGTCTGGTGTTGGATGTTCCTCTTTGAGGAAGAGCTTTTTATTTTCACTATTATTTCATAGTTTGCTTTAAAAATAATATCCCGGTTGTATGCAGTAGAAATGCTCAGGGAAACAAAGCCATCGAATCCTCTCCTCCGCTCTCTACTTCCAGGGACAGTTTAAGTCATTATTGGGAGCTCAGGACTGGAAGTCCCTGAGAAAGGAGCCTATTGGTGTTATCCTCACCGTTTCTGCCGATCCACTCTGTTCCCTACGCAGGGACTAGGTAGGCATGGTCCATCAGAGCTGGGGTGAAGGGAGAAACATGATGTGGGTACAGAGGAACCAGCAGCAGACAGGGAGAAATCACAGGACCTGAGGCATAGCCAGTCTTTACTTGGGCTTCCAAGATTTAAAGAAAGCCACACCTCTTGGAGATGAAATCAGGTATGCCAGAGTGTGAACCCAGAACCCCGAGACTCTTCCTTTTAAACCAGGCAGGGGCTTACATTGGCCCATGCCTGTGTACCTTTTGCCTGGCAAGCATACTCAGTGTCAGGGGTGGGGGTAGGGTTGAGAAAGGCACTGTTGAACTTGACCAACATCTTAATGGGATTTTGCTCATTTCACTCACCAAGATGCTTCTGGAATTTCCACATTTATTTTTTACCTGGACAATCTCTACTTAGAATGGTTGTGTTTAGTCTATGGGGTTTTAAGGAGCTTTTGGGGGGTGGGTGGAGTGCAGAGGGTAGTGTAACGTTGAATAAAAATGAGACTATTTAAAGCATCCTCCTAACACTCTACTCTAAACGCTGATAGAATTAATTTGACCATTTTAAAGGTGCACAGATGCATGCTGCAGGCTCTTCCTAGTTAGTTTGTGACCCTTATTAAGATGTCTAGGGCTTATTAAGACCTCACAGTAACTTTGTCTTCTTAATTGCGAAGAGCTTGCTCTTTAAGTCCAGAAATGGTTAAACCAGTGGCCAGAGGTGCTGCACCGCCCTGCCCTGGCCCGGCGCGGCGGGGGTTAAGGTGGGCTCCCGCGCCCCGCACCCGCCGGGATGAGCGCGCAGTCCTTGCCACCCGCCCGCCGGATTGCTTGGAGTCGGCACCGAGAGAAAGTGGCGGTCAGGGATGGAGCTGCTGCCATGACAACCCCGGCGGTCGGGGCCCGCGCGCGTCGGGGCTGCTCCCGGGAGGAAGGCGGCGCGGAGGCCGGGGGCGGCCGCTGAGCTTGGCGTCCGCGGCTCCGGTCTGCGCTTCGCCTTCTACAGCGAGCCAGAGAACAGGCGAGGAACTGCCACGGTCCGCCCTGCCGGGCCGCTCCAACCTCGCTGCTGCGCTGCAGAGACTGCCCAGGCTGCGGCGCGCATCTGGGTTCTGAGGAAGTTGACCGAGGCTCTGCGGCAGGATTCCGGAGTCCGGATTGCACGAAGCCGGCTTAGCTGAAGCCTCCTCGCACCATCCGTGCCGCCTCTTGCGTGCTCTACTTTCCATCTGCTATTGTTCCAGATTGTTACTGGCGGCGAGCCTTGCTCGGAAACTTAAGAAAGTGCTGAATTTTCCCTTGTTCGACTGAGGAATCGCAGACCACATCTGGATAGCTGGATGCAACCCAGCCACAGCCCTGTTGGATACCAAAGTGCTTACTCCTGTCCAAAGTGCCATGCCTGAACTGCTATAGGAAAGAGGCAGCTCCTGAGTCCGGCACCTGAGCGCCTGCTTGCCTGCCTTGCGCTGGTCCTTCCTGTTCACCTTCCTGGCCACAGGCAACACGGGGAAAGTCCGCCTCGGATGTGTGCCGTGGAAACTGGTTCTTGAAGGCTGGCAAGCTGAGGCTGGATCTGAGGGAGGAATATTAGACTTAGAGGAGTCTGCGCGCTTTCCTCCTCCCAGTGCATCGCGCGGTCGCCGCTAGTTCATCGCTGGGTCCCCGCGCTCACTCCCTACCCCACCCACTTCCTGTGCTCGCCCGGGGGGCGTGTGCGTGCTGCTGCCGGAGTTCTGGGAAGTTGTGGCTGTCGAGAATGGGGGTCTGTGGGTACCTGTTCCTGCCCTGGAAGTGCCTCGTGGTCGTGTCTCTCAGGCTGCTGTTCCTTGTACCCACAGGAGTGCCGGTGCGCAGCGGAGATGCCACCTTTCCCAAAGCTATGGACAACGTGACGGTCAGGCAGGGGGAGAGCGCCACCCTCAGGTAGGGAACTGCCATTCGACGAAATAATGATTTGTTTGGGCTGGGGGACTGGGACAGGGGTGCGGGTGTGTGCACTGGAGCAAGCCAGGGCTAGTGGAGAGGTCGCTAGTTCCCTGCGCTGCACAATTCCTGGATGAGCTGGCTGCTCTGCCAAGGAATGTGGCAATCACAGGGCAATGCCAGGGGAGATCTGTTTCCCAAACCTGGCTTCTTCGACTCGGGTTTGTAATGGGTGAGGGATAGCTGTCTCATTTTGAGGGCAGTGGTCCTAGTGCTGCCTGTTCCTGAGCCTGATGGCTATGGTGACCTGGGACTTGCCTGAGACTCAGCATGGATTATCTTCTCTCTGAAGTTAATGAGTGCCAAAGCAGGGAGATGGCTTGGTGGGGATGGCCTCACTCTACCCGTGCCACTGGGAGTTGCAACCAGGGACTGGACTCTGTAAAATCCTTCTCCTGAGCCTGGTTTTACCAAGGTTTTTCTGGGCTGTCTGGATTCCACGAGATGGTGGGCAGAGGCAGATGTGTTCTGTCTGAATGTGGCTTTTGAACACTAGTACCATGCCTTCGGATTTGCCTGTGGAAAATGTCATTTACTGAGAGGACTGTGTTCTGTTTGGTCTGTCCACCAAATCAGTGTGTGCAAAACTTGGCACCCAAAAAACCCTAGGCTTTAGTGTGATGTTGGGTCAGGAATGATTTCTGGGGTTGAGGATCGCAACATCTGGGAAGGAGGAGAAGAATCTTGACTACATTTTTGTGTTAAGTGGGAAAAGATTGTCTCCCTGTTACTGTGCTATTAAAGCACTAACTCCATTTCCAGTGTTGATAAAAACCACGCCTCTCACAAGAGGGCCACACACTGGATGATTGTAATAGGAGATTTTCCTCTCTGGAATTTTTAAGAGACCAAGAAACCGTCCTACCTCTCATTGTTTTAATAAAGTTTTCAAAACTGATCAACTGAACTGACCACAGGCGACAGGATACTATTTCCATCCTCTGACGTGGAGATTCTTGGGAAATTAACCTTGGCTTTGGTGCCTGATGTCTTGGTCCCATTGGTTTACTGAGATTGGACTGCATGCATGATAGCCACAGGATAGAAAGTGTTGGGGAGGGAGTACTGGCAATACAGAGTTGAATTGTGAGGGCATTTTCAAAAACACGTGTGATTTAAGGAACATGCAAGGCTGCAAACGTCCCAAGATCCTTTGTCTTTGAAGACCTAACTGTCATGGCTCCAGTGAAGTCCTTGTTACTCAATGATACGTGAACTCTTTAGTGAATACTTCAGATTAAGCTAAACTGCCCAGTTGCCCCCTCTCTGAAATGACTTGATATTTACTTTATGTAGGGACTTCATGGGAGTTGTAAGGGACTTCATGGGAGTTGTAACTATGCATTGATTTCAGACTATCTCAATAGAAAAAAAAATCCTCTAAAACGATGTATTCAAGAAAATTTAGTGTTCTCTAGATGGCTCCTTTGACCCTAACCGCTGGCTGCAGGAAGGAGACCTCTAGGGACACAACAGAGATACTATCTATGGGGATTATTTTAGATACAGATCCCCCCCACACACACACACTCAAAAGAGAGAAAAGAAGATAGTGAGCGCCCTAGGGGTTTGAAGATATACATAGATAATTGGCCTTGACAGCGACTCTCACAATCTAAGGAAAACAAGGGGATTCGAGTGGCCCAAGATGTCATCTCAGGAAGGGCAAGAGCCCCATGGCTCAGGAGGTTCTGGCTCTTTCAGAGTGGCTGCATCCAGCAGGTACCAGGGCCTGGGACTTCTTTCTAGCAGTCCTTTATTGTATTGTACAATACAGAGTGTATTGACTGCTCTGCTCTCATTTCCACTCTCCTTTTCGTCTCTTTCAGATACCAGTGTTTGCATTTTCCCATAGGCTCTCCACACAGTGGGCTTGTTTGAATACAAATGGAAGTGCAAGGACATGGTGGGGCTGCATCTGTATGCCTCAGCATTGGTCACAACCCAACCTTGCATACCAAGTCCATCCAATCCCCTGCTATGCTGTGTCAGCCACAAGAGGCTGACTGTCTTTGTGACATTCAGGAGGGTGGTCCTCTCAGTGGATGGAACCCTAAAACCTAGGGATTAGATGAACCAGGATGTGATGATACCTGGCATCGGTCATGGCCAGGATTTGTCGTCAGAACTGGTACCAGGGGTGACAGGCAAGCTGTGTGTGTGTCGCCCATGCCCCTCTCAGGTGTTTCTTCATTCTTTGCATTGTACTGCACTCGGATGTAGAAGGGCTTCCTTGTTGGGGGTACAATTTGGGAGTGGAAGCTCTGAATTCTTTGACACATGTCCTGCCTTTCCTTGTTATGTGTTGGAAAGTCGCATGTAGTGATTTTAGGATGCATAATTATATTTATAGAAAAATTGCTAATCTATGGATAAGTTGCAACCATCTCGTGGTTCATGATTCTGTGTTTTTTCTTTTAAATTGTCCACGGGATGGAACTGGTTTCCTTCCTTCCCTATCAACAAGTAGGGAGACTGAGGCACCTTTACTTACACAGAAGGCCACCCAATCCTCCTGGCAGCAAGACTGCAGTTCCCTTCATGACCAGCAGAGGACTTGCTGCTCTAGTTTCTTTTTATTCTGCTTTGTTCTCGCCAGCATCATCTTTATGATCTCTGAAGAGTAAATGTTTCAGCAACAAATTCTATTTTGAAGAAACTTTAAAAGTTTATTTTACTTTTTCTAATTATCTCTAATGATCTTTTTGGAGCTATTCTAATGGGAAACAAAGGTGTTGGCAGTCTGTACAGAGTTGCAGGCATTTGCATTTTTCCACTGTTTCTGCCCTCCCCTTGATGTTTTTATGAATGGTGAGATCATATGACATGGAATGTGTAACATAGCCCAGGTTTGTTGAGTAGTCACCATGTATTAGGGAATAGCAAAGTGCTGTATATAATGTCTCAACCCCCTAACATTGTAAATGAATCCTAATAATAATTATTACGTAGTTATTATTATCACATTTTACAGATGGGAAAACTGAGGCATTGGCATGAAGAATTAGCCTCACTTGGGCCTGTGAATATGACTCAGTTGATAGAGTGCTTGCTTAGCTCATATGAATCCCTAATTTCATCCCTAGTATAGTCCCTCCTCCTCACAGAAATCAGAAAACAAACAAACAAACAAAAAAAACCCAAAGCAAAACATTACTTGATTAAGGTGGAATAGCTAGGAAGTTTTGAAGTGGGACTAGGAGGAGGCACTAGTAATGGTTATGTTAATAAGTTGAAGAGTATTATCACTTATTGACCAGCCACTGTATGGTACTATGAATTAAATGTACCTAGTAACAGTTAATCCTCCCTACTCTCTGAAATTCATGAAATTATCTCCCATTCTACAGATGAGGGAGTTGAGACCCAAAGGGCAGCATTTATCTGAACTCACACCAGTAGCAAGTGTGAGTAGCTAGAGCGCTGGTTCAGAGTGATAGAGTCATTTCAGCAGACCTCAGATATTGCGATTTCCCAAGACTTATTGGGAACTCTGTGTCTCCCTACTTTCCCAGTGGTGTTTAATGTCTACCATCCTTTTTGCTTTTGTATGTTTAATTTCCTCTCTAAGTGGGCTGAGCTCATTCTGAGAGAGCAAAGATCATACCTTTTAACGTCATGAGTACCCTAGATGACAGAGGGTCCTGAAACAGATGAATGAAGATGAAACAAAACTATCCTTCACTCTTTATCGTATTTCTCTATCACTTGATTTGATAACTGAACAGTGATCAAACAACAAAGATGTAGTGCATGGTTCTTTTAAGAAGACACAAAGCCAGGTGTGGAAGTGTGGAGGGAAAATTATGGAGGCCTGGACTTGGCTCTCAGAAGTCCTGGGTCCACTCTCCAAAGCCAGCCTGTGAACAAAACAATCAAGATTAGCACATGGGTCTAGGATGGCAAGTGGGGAGGATCTGAGCAGAGTGCCCTCTGGTGGAGGGAGGCTTTCAGTGGTGGTTAGGACATAGAACTAGTAGACAAGGTTTCTCTGGGTAGCCCTGGCTGTCCTGGAACTCATTCTGTAGACCAGGCTGGCCTCTAACTCACAGAGATCTGCCTGCCTCTGCCTCCTGGGTGCTGGGATTAAGGGCGTGAGCCCCCACCACCCGGCCCTTCTTTGGGTTTTTATCCCAATGGTAGGCCCGTAGGCCTTACTTTTGGTTTTCCCCACTACTAGAGACAACACTATCTGTATTGCTCCCTTCATAGCTATTCCCGATTTTGGCCCAAGTACTGATGAGATACCCCCACTGAAGCCTTTGCTAACAATCAAATCCATTTAGTCTCCTACCTACCACTTGTACCAGTCTTAATATCAGCACAGTAGATGCTTTCTCATGAGCATTCGTCTCCGTCTGAAGGCATTCCATTCATTTGTTTAGTTACCTGCGTGTTGTCTGCCCTCCTCACCTAGACAGTGAGCTCCGTGGGATAGGTGTACACCCTCTGGCTTACTCCGCACATTCACTCATCAGTGCCTTTTATACAGGAAGTCACCAATACATGAGCTGTGCGGATGAGTGAAGTGATGTGTGTCTAAGATCACTCCCTTCTCCCCTTGATTCTCCCTCTTTCCCTTGCCATCTTGTATTGTCTTTGCCCTGGGATGTCCTTGGTGCAGCACCACAGTTGCCATGGTCACGTGTGTGTGGTGTAGTTCCTGACAAGGTACTGTGTACAGATTCCAAATACATGTCATTTATTGAGCTGGTGTCTTCCTGAGCTCTACACAGATGGGCTGAGTTGGGAGGTTGTTCCATATTTGATAGCTGTGCTATGGCACGTACCTCCTGCTCTGTCAAGTCACTATGCTACCCAGTGATCCAATCTTTGAAGAAATGTTCTTGATGACGGGCCAGGTGTACCTCAGAGAAAGTAGTCTACTTAAGGCAAGGAAGGAGACAGAAAAGCATCTCCCTTCCCATCTTCTATTCTTA